ACTGGGCCCAGCGGGACCTGTCTCCTGGTCTGAATTTTGTTTCTGAACAAGAGGCTGTGGCTGCAGAGGCCCTGAAGCAGCCTCTGCTGATGATGCCCTTTCTCCTCCTCCCCCCCTGGACCAGGGCAGCCAGCTGGAGCCCGTCCCCCTGTGAGTCAGGGGAGAGTCACTGTGAAGATGCTGAACACAGGGATCCGAAGAAGTAGGCTGGCGCCGCCTCGCTCTTGCTCTAGGGGAGGGTGGGAAGGACATGGAGGGGCACTAGCCCAGATGCCCACTTTGTCCCCTGCTTGGCTTTCTAAGACCTGGAGATGAAATTCAAGTCCCTCAAACACCACTGTGCTCCTTAGGCCTTTCAAGACAGGAGAGAGTGGCCTCTATCCTGGATTTCACTGCTAAACTTTGGGCAGACATGGGGCCATCTTGCTGGTTGCAGTATGTGGCTCCTAGCCCTCTACAGAGATGACTGCCAGCATCAGAGGAGCCCTCTCCCACCCTAGTTTATGCCTGCTGGCTGAGCATTTGATGTCTACAATCTCACCTAATTATTCCAACCAACCTGAGAGGGAGGGCCCTTTAGTAGTCTCCTGTTATGGATAAGGAAACTGAGGCTCAGAGAGGCTAGGTCACTTGCTTGAGGTCAACCTATCATTAAGTGGCAGAGCCGGGACTGAACTTCTGGACCAGCCAGCCCCAAACTCATGTTCTCAGCCACCAGGCTACACTACTACCTGGGGAAAGAGCACCATCAGAAAGGGATTATCCTAAATCATAGTGGAAATGCAAATACTGAGAGTTACCTTCATAACCAGTGAGTGAGACCCACAGAAAAGACCTGAGGCTTACTGGGATGTGGTGAGAGGCCAATTACTCCCTAGGTGAACTTGTGAGGACAGTTGGGTGGATGCAGCAGGCAGGATCTGCTGGGTGCTTTATATTTCCTATGTGACCAGTAAGTAGCCTATAGGGCAGGTTAGACATCAGTATTCCCACTTCAGGGTCCAGCAAGGTTAACTTTTCACCCAAGATCCTGGTAAGGAAGGGCCAGAGCAAAGATTCTGTCCAGGGTGTCCACATTCACTCAAAGAGGACAAATATCCTTCCAGGTCTCTTTTGAGACTGTGATCACCCTGAGAGTTTTAAATGCAGGTTAGGAGGCACTTATGCTTGGGAATAAAGGGTCACCTATGGCCCTCTCAGGCCAGCCCCACCATTGGGAATGTGAAGAATGCTCCATCCTGTGGGTGCTCACTCTCAGGCAGCAGCTGCCTAACATGAGAGGCAGCTGACAAACGGCATCTTTTGGGCAGGGGATGCAGCAGCACCCCCACCACTGGGGTCCAAAAGGAAGTTCTGAGCATGCGCCCTGAATTCCATGCTGGGGAAATCAGGGTCACGTTTTCACTTAAAAAATTGGATCTCTAGCTAATGGGATGATTTCTATTCCAGTGCCAAGAATATTAATTTGACACCTGCAAATTCTTTCTGACAATGATAGAATGATAATGTCTACAGGAGCAGGTGGTACTAAGGAAACAGCCACTTATCCTGAGAAACGGAGAGCAGAGACAATGGAAGATGCCAAAGGGTGTGGCCTACTGAGCTGTCACTTGGGCAGAACTGAGGAACCATGGCAGATGAGACATGCCAGCTAGGCCATGTGCCAGTGGGGCTGTGGAACACAGTGGAGGCAGAGGTAGGCCTCTGAACTCGGCCTTCTCCATGCCTGGCTCTTGCATCATTAACACCTGGGTATATCCTATCCCCTGAGACCAGTGACTCTCAGCCAGAGTGAGGAGTATGTGGGCTAATCACAGCCATCGTATGAGAGAAAGACCTTTGCAACAGAGGTAACAAATGGAAGGTCCTAAATATACAGCTTCTATAATCAATAGGAAAAGTGAACAAAAGATTGGAGGGCTAAAGGGGAGGGGGGGTTATTTTATTTTTTGGGTGCTGGGGATTGAACTCAGGGGCATTCAACTGCCAAGTCACATCCCCAGCCCTATTTTGTATTTTATTTAGAGACAGGATCTCACTGAGTTGCTTAGTGCCTCACTGTTGCTGAGGCTGGCTTTGAACTTGTGAGCCTCCCGTCTCAGCTTCCCTTACAGGTGTGTGCCACGGCGCCTGGCGTTTTTGTTTACACACACACACATCCACCCCTCCTCACCAAGTTGGGACCTTTTCTTAAGAACTTATAGGACAAGAGAAAAAAGCCAGAAAACCTCCTGGAGAAACCTAGAGGAAATGGGGATGCTACAACTCCATCCAGGCTCCCCATCTCCCCAGCTGGTTTTGCACTGACTAGTCCTGGTCATAAGCAATCAAAGGGGACAGGCTCTGGAGTCAAACAGACCTGGCTTTGAGCTTGGCTTCAAGAACTTCCTGTGTAAGTTATTTACCCTTCCTAGGCCTTAGTTGTTTTTTTTTTTTTTTTGGGGGGGGGGGGGGTAAGGGGATTGAACTCAGGGGCACTTGACCACTAAGCCACAACCCCAGCCCCATTTTTTTTTTTTTTCTTTGTATTTTATTTAGAGACAGGGTCAATGAGTTGCTCAGCACCTTGCTGTTGTTGAGGCTGGCTTTGAACTTGTGATCCTCCTGAGCTGCTGTGATTATAGGCATGCCTGGTTGTTTTTGTTTTTTATGTACCTTTATTTTATTTATTTTTATGTGGTGCTGAGGATGGAACTCAAAGCCTCACATGTGCTAGAGCTCCACCACTGAGCTATAACCCCAGCTCCAAGCCTTAGTTTTATTTATTTGTTTGTTTATTTTAAAGTTATAGTTGGACACAAAACCTTTATTTACTTATTTTCATGTGGTGCTAAGGATGGGATCCAGGGCCTCGCATGTGCTAGATAAGTGCTCTACCGCTGAGCCACAACCCCAGCCCCAGGCCTTAGTTTTTTGACCTGTCCAATGGAAATAACAGAACTCCCACAGGATTTTTGTGAGGGCTCTTGAGCTACTACAACACAAGGGTCTGACATGGTTCTTGAACCTCAAGGAGCTCCAATTTGAGATAAGAGCTGTGCGTGAAGACATTTGGAAAAACCCACCAGAGAACACTTTCCATATATCCTTCAAGGGAAGTCCTAGGAGAAGAGGACTTTGTCTTATCTGTGGCTGTACTCCCATTGCCAAGGGTCCACAGTCAGTGAGGCTGGGGGATATTTAGGAAAGGTATTCTGGAGAAGAACCAGGATGTGGCAGAATCATGACTCAACAATGATTATCAAGATCCCCAAATCTGTCCTCCAGAGATAGGAAAGAGAGACTCTTCCTTCCTGTCACAGCATCTCCTCAACTGTCCCCAAGAGCAGCTTCAATCCTCCTCCCATGAGGCCCACAAGATGTGCCCCAAAGCCCTGACAACGTTTGGCACTTCAGCAAATCCACTTTCCATTGCCGCAACCTGAACAGAGCAGTTTAATGGGCTGCATCCACCCCCCCAGCCTCTCTCCCCGCCTCTGAATGCACAAGCACACGAAAGCCAATTTCAAGCAAAGAAAGCTGGATGGGATTAAACAACTCAATTTAAAGGACTGAAAACTCAGCTGCTTCCAGTGAAGTCCCAGGAAAGCACCAATCAGCAGCTCTCCTCATCTTTTCTTACTGAAAGGAGGGCCTGGCTCTGCAGTGAGTCACTCCTAGTTTGCAGGCAGAACTGGGCCGTGTCCACCTGGGCTGGGTACTGCAGGGCGGCAGTGCAGGGGGGAGAGCAAAGGATGTGTGTCGGGGTGGGCAAGCAGGAAAGGCCAGGGGCACTCACAGACCATCTGTTTGGGATTTTTTTGGAAATGCAGAGAACCTCAGAGGACCTATAGGATGATACCTGCCTGTCTGCTTCTTTCTTTGGTCTAGATTCAGGAAAGTAAATTCAGGCTGCAGGACAGCTGCCAGGCCCCATGCAAGCCTGTACTAGCCACACGCAAGCCTGTACCAGCCCAAGGAAACCTGAGCTGCCTCACTGCAAGTATCTGTGGCAATGCCCTTCTTCCTTCCAACCCCAGCCCCAACCTGTCCACTCCCACATTCTTACTGGGCAGTGTGGGCAGGTCTATTGGTGCATGCATTTATTGCTGCATGGAGACATGGTGCTTCCTATTGCCCACAGCAACTTAGAGCCCAGAAGAGGAAAAGACAGGGAAAAGTCAGCTCAGACCATCAGCATGCTGAAGAGCTGATATGGAAGAATGGGCTGCTGCTTGTGCAAACGGGTGTCCAGCTACAAGTCCTGCCCCTTGGCTGGGAGGCAAGGGAGCCCTGAAAAGAATTATTCTGTCCTGACTCCACGGGCAGCACTGTAGAAAACGGTGAGTGGGGTAATGTTAAGCAGCTGGAGAGCTACAGATGACAGAGGACCCTGGGGCACCCTGTTCCCCGGGCCAGCCTCTGCTTGCTGGTCCTTTCAGAGACCAGGGGGTTGCTCCTGCAGCCTGGAATTGGGGCTAGCCTTTCCCTATCACACCAGCAGCACCTGGTGTCCCCAACAAAGCAAGGCTTAAGGGACCAATTAAAACTGGAGTCAAAGTAGAGTGCAGCTAAACAACTAAAGCGCACACTCAGCATGTGGCATCTTACACAGGTCACTTTTTTCTCATACAGCAGGTACTGTCACTACCCTCACTGGACACTGATAAGAAGGCTCACAGATGTTAACTATGGCTCAAGTGTGGGCAGCAAAGCAGGGCCAGACCTTGCCCCCAGGGAGCCTGACCCCACAGCCAGGGTCCCTGCCACTAATCACCTCCCAGAGAAGACATATCAACTCCTAAGAGTATGCAAACTCACCTTCTCCCTGAAATCTGCCCCAGAGTACTCCAGAAAGGCCTACAGAAGCGTCCTTACTGACAAAGCCCAGCGCACTAAGCACAGCACTCTAAGTCAATTTTTTGGTGTTGATTTGAGAGCACAACATCAACCAAACAAGAACAACATAGCTGTTTGACCCCACAAGTCATCAAAAAAGAAAGCTGGTGTTTGTGACTTACCTCATCAGACTCATCCGATAACGTCTGAAGTAGGATGGGGAAGAGGCTGTCTGTGTGTCGAAACATCTGGAGAGCAAAAAGGGGTCACTGGTGAGGTATCCCTTTGCTCCAGAACTGAGTTTGGTTCAGATAGCATCCTGGGGTCTGCAGAGACCACCTCCCTCCACCCAAGTCACCGAGGGTTCCTCATGCCATCTTTCACTCTTGTGCTCACCAGGGTTTTTCCAGAAGTGCAATGACCCAAACCCTCCCAAGCATGGGGAGGCTCTTGAAAACCAAGGTGGACTTGGAAGGAACTCCTTGGTAGGGAGCTGCCTCCTGGAGGGCTGGCTGGGCTCACCTTGCGGGGGGTCTTGATGTAGAGATGGTAGAGCCACTTTAGAACAGCAATCCTGGTCATCATCCCAATGGCCATGTCACTAAGGTGGCAGTTCAGAACCTGTACAATCCCATCAAGGTGCAGGGTCACTGGGGCCCTGTCAGTGCTGTGGGCAAAAACCAGGAGAGAAAACCAAGTGAAGCTCATGTTGTCTTATACTCCTGTGTCATAGCATTCCCTGGGCCTGCAGAGTCAGGACCACATGCTCCTACCCCACTGCCTGGGACACAGAAGGCAGACCCAAGCAGAGACCAAGACACCATCACTTGCCTTGGTGATGGGGGCTCCTAGGGGCCTTGCTTTTTTCTCTCCACTTCCTTCTGTTCCTGAGGAGTATGGAGCTTATGGCTTGCTGGAGCTCTGCTACCCACATGTGGGAAGGGAGGCTGGCCTCCTGGGCTCCGGCTCACCTTCCCTTCCATTTTCTAGTTCTAGCCTGGCTTGTACATGAAGCTGGCGCCCATTGGATTCTGGCTGAGAGGCCGGTTAATGACCTGACCTGTTTGGCACCTCAGATCATTAAGTCAGGTGTTTTGCTGATGATGCAAAACCCCCGTGTCCAGACGGTACAAGGGAGGACCCCATAACGCCCCTTGACATCCAACAGGCCCTTCACTGGGAACACGGTTTCCTGATTGAGTACAGGGACTGCGGCTCGTCCTCTTACCACAACTGCACCTGGCACAGATCTGCCTGGTGCAGAAGCCTTGAGTTACCTCTGAAATGGAAATGCTCTCTTTTGAGAGGGGAAGAGGTGACAGAGTCTCTATCTAAGATACCAGGGCTCTCAGAATGTGTCCATTCAGGTACAGGAAGCCCCCTGGCTCCCATGGACCGAATCCTTGCTGGTCTCCACTTAAAGAAAAGTCCTACCAAGCACCCAAGAGGTGGCCGAGCACTGCTGGGAGGCAGAGTTAGCTCTGCCCAAAGCACGGCTCCCTGGCAGAGGGTGGGTTTTCAGGGTGGGCACAGCACAGGCAGGAAACCTTAGGGGCAAGGGGGCTCCCCTCCTCCTGATGCCCTGTACCACGTTTACCAAAAGTGACATGACAATGCTGGCCGTTTCCTGGGGACTGGGGCCAGGCAGTTCCAGTGCCCATCTGTACAAAATGGTCTTTCGTGGCATTTCCAGGCTGCTCAATTATTCATTTGCACCGGGAACTTGATGGCTGTGCTTTCCTCATTTGCCTGCAGCCTCTCCGAAGCTCATGTGATGTGAGCTCCTACAGGGTAGGATTCTGAGCTCTGCAATGGCTAGGCAGAATTGCTATTTAATACAATCTGATGGCCCCCCAGAGCCCGTTTCAGGGGTGAGAATGGGCATGTCCATACTCAGGGGGCCAGGAAATCTGGGCGTGTGACATAGTGACAGAGCCCAGAATGGAGCCTCTGTGAGGAGGGGAGCAGCCTCTGTGATTTCCTCAGGAGTCATGTGGCTGGAAATTCCTAGTGTCATCTGAGGATATCAAAACATCTAAATGCTGTGGCAGCCTAAGACACAGGGAAAGCAAAGTGCAGACGGGTCCAGGGCAGCAGGCGCAGGCCCATACTTGATCTCTTGTGCTCACTGTCCAAGATCACAAGGTGAGCCACAGACGTGATTCTACATTTTTTTAGTTTTAAATTGAAAAGGAGCTGGGCATGGTGGCACACACCTGTAATCCCAGCAGCCTGGGAGGGTGAGGCAGGAGGATCACAAGTTCAAAGCCAGCTTCAGAGAAAACTCTTAAAAACTTAAGAGAAAGGCCCCATACCAAAAAAATAAAAATAAAAATAAAGCGGGGGCAGGGGGATGCGCTGGGGATGTGGCTATGGTTAAGCACCCCTGGGTTCAATCCTTTGTACCAAAAACAAAACAATAAATATAAAAGGAAAAAGAAACAGGTGAAACTAATTTTAACTAACCCAATATATCCAAATTATTTGCATTTCAACATACAATCAATATAATGAACATAAAGATTACTAATGAGACACTTCAGGTTGTTCTTGGTGTCCTCATCTTTGACATCCAGTGGCATTTTCTGCTCACAACACGTCCCAGATTGGACCAGCTACATATCAGGTGCTCTGCAGCCATGTGGCCACCACCCTGGCCAGCACAGCAATCCCACCAGGGCTTCCTCAGCATTTCCTTATCAGCTCTGATAAGTTCCTGATGGTCAGCCCCTCTCCCTTTGCTTATGGCCAGCACTCCCTGTCTTATCTCCAGGTCTCTCTTTCCCTAGCTGGGCTGGTGTCCTACAGAGCTCCTTCCCGTGTGTCCCCTTGGGCTTAGCTCTTAGCCTTTCCTTTCTGGATCCTGCGCCCTGAGGCAAGGCTAGTGGCTTTCTAGCAGGAGCCTTTGAAGGTTGCTGCTACTTGGTGTCCAGGTGTCAGGAGTACCCTGTTCCTGGAAGACCACTGCCACATCTCAGCAGAACTGGCCCCCTGGAGGAAGGCCTTGTAAGTTTTATTTACCTGGGGGATTCAGAACTGCAGGGGTCTAGCAATGGCCTTGCCCTAGAGCTGCTGGTGGGGACAAGGCCAGGCTCCAACCCCCACCCCCACCCCCGGGCAGGTCAGTGGTTGTATAACCTTGGAGCTGGGGGAGTAAGGGCTTTGGTAACAGGCATGGTAATGACCAACATTCTGTGCAGCACTTTACCTACAAGCCCCATGTTGCTCTCTTTGCAGCCCTATGGCTAAGTCATGTTACTTCCACTCTGGGGATAAGGGAACTGAAGCACAGACATTAGGTGACCTGGCCAAGGTTACATAGCCAAGAAATGGTGGTGCCAGCAATTTGAATCTTAGTAGTCTGACTCCAGAGTGGACCTTCCCACCACATGGCACTATCTTCTAGCAGGGGTGGCAGGCTCAAGAGATCATGGCACCATCACCCCCAACCATATCTAGAGAGGGACAGATAAAAGCAGCTCCAGTGCACACAGTCCTTCTTTGGCCAGGGCAGGCCTGGTAGCACCTGGTGTTGGGGGAAGAAGTTCATCTCACACTTTCCAGTGTAATTTCTTGCTGGAAGGGCAGTCAAAGGTTCCATGTGGGGAGAAAGGCAGAGCTCCAACTACTGGTAGACCTGAGATGCTTCTGGCCAGCCATGGTGGCATCTCTTTCAGGTGGCATTGTGTCAGGGCCACCTAATAAAGGAAGGACTTCATGGAGCCATGTGTAAACTGGCAGCATTGTATATACTGACATTCTAGGACTTTCCCCACAGCAAATGCCGACCACAGCACACCTCCCTGGGTATGGGTGTCTTTGGACTGATAGTGAGACAGGTGTTGTCCTCACTCCACAAGAACTTTATAACTAAAAGGGACCTCATAGTTAATGCAACTCAATCCTTCAGTGCACAGATGAGCAAACCTGGGTGCAGAGGCCAGAGACTGGCCAAGGCCAAAAGGCTAAGTACTAAGAGCTCATTCCCGTGGCTAGAGACATCCTCCCTGGGTCTCTTCCCTTGGCTAATTAAAGATGAAGGTCAGGAGAAGCAGGTGAGTGACTGGGCTGAGCAGTGGGGAAAGGGTGATCAGGATCCCAAATGCCCTTGAGCAGGCAGCTGCTCCACTGGGCGGGGCTGGCTCCTGAGCTCTGTGCAAACTCAGCGGGGAACACAGGGTACTGTGCTCAGCTCCTCTCTGCTCGGCTGAAGTCAGATGTGGCACCCTCCGCCCTGGCTAACCTTACCCATCAAGAACAGAAGGGAGCTCAGGCAAGGTTTAAAATACATCTCTACATCGGTTCCAAAAAGTCTAGACAAGCCACTCCTGGGGGCTTCTGAGTTATTTCAAGGTGTCTGCAAAACCCCATTTTCACCAAGCATTTTCTCATAAAGCATCTCATAACGAGTGTCTTACACACATATGCACTACGATTTCCAAGCACATGGTGCTGCTTAAAATACAGACTTCCCAAATAATGCTTCTGATAGTACCAATGAATAATAATCTGTCCCCATGGTTCTCACTGGGAGACACCACTTTATCTCTGTAATGGCTCACTTTTTATGGTACATGTGTTACATCTCTAATCAAATTAGAAAACAGACAAATCTAAAAACAGAGTTGTTTCTGAATTCAAAGTTGCCTTTTTTAAATACACGATCATCATGTAATTTTTTCAATCAGTAGCTACTTAAAGTTGAGAAGCACGGACTTCTAGGTCTTTCTGGTTGCTTACACATAGGGCAGTCAGCTCTACCAGGAGAACTGTATTGAATGTCACTGATGACACCATGGCCCTTGGCAAACCCTGGCTGCTAGAGGGAATACTGTTCACGCGGCAACACCTGTTCAAGAGTCCCTGTCAAGTCAGGAAGGCAAACTTGAAACACTAACAAAGCTAACTGCAGGGAATTTGGAACTAGACAAACCTGGCTAGCATTTCAACTTGGTCACTAACTAGCTGATTGGCTTTGGGCAAGAAGTCAGTCTCTCTGGTCTGTCTCCTCATTTGTACAAAGGGGATAAAAGTGTAGCCAAGACTCTCTACCATGGCTCAGACAGTGTTGCTGCCACAAGATCTCCCTCCACCAGGGTCAGAAAGTGTTAGAGAACTGGTTCTAGATTTTTTTGTGTGCCAGATGCTGCTCCTTGCTTCTCACTGACTTCAACTCATTTATACCTCACACTCCTGCGGCTCACCACCCCGAGCTCTCCCAGGAGGAGTGTGCTCAGCGTGCAGAAAGGCAGTGGCGGCAACTCCTCTCTCTACCCTTGCCTTCGCTTCAAGCGTGCTTCCTCCACCTTGTTTCTTCTCTTCCGACCCTCCCCAGGGAGGTCAGTTTTCAACTTTCTGTGAACTTCCCTTGCTTTGGAGGATGGAGGATCTGAATCCTCTAACTGGAGATACTGCGGCTGTTTCCCCAGACCGAAAGCGACTCCATCACCCACCACTTCTCCCAGGTGACTAGGCTTGGGACTCCAGGGCTTTTGCAGCATCCCAGGAGAGAGGGCAGATGAGGACAAGGGAGGAGGCTCATGGTCTCAAGTTGATTTGGTGATTTCTCTCTGTGTTTTAGTCCAAGCGAGGAATCCCTTTTTTCTTTTCTAATCTGGGGTATAGGGACTGTCTTCAAGGAGATTCCTGAGCCCCTGAAAGAGGGTTCAGTTTTGGACGTACATTTTTAAAGGAAGGGGATCCACAACCTTCATTGGACCCTCCTAGGGCCCCAAACCACGAAGACTGAGGACCATCACATTGCTGGCAGTTTTTTGCCAGGCAGAAATGCCTTCTGCTCCTGGAGGAGTCTGCACTCGGGCTGCTGCCCTTGGCTGGCGAGAACTGAGTGGAACTGGCAACTGCAGGCGGTGCTCGGGCAAGCGATGCACCTGGACAGTGGCAGTGTGGGTTCTGTTTTGTGTCACTCTGGACGGTGCCGTCCTGCCCAAGCTTGGTCTCCTTTGGCAGTGTCACTGGGGGAAGCAGGTGGTGGGCCTCAGACCCCAGCTCTGGTTTCACAACTAGCAGGGTTGCTCTCCTCCTGGCATGGCCGGTGGCTCAGAGACTGCCACCACAGGAGTCAGAAGTGCCAGATGACTTATTCTTTTTTGTTTTGTTTATTTATTTTTTTTAGTTGTAGTTGGACACAATACCTTTATTTTTTATTTATTTATTTTTATGTGGTGCTGAGGATTGAACCTAGGGCCTCATGCGTTCGTTTGAGGCAAGCGCTCTGCCACTGAGCCCCAGCCCCAGTCCCTAAATGACTAATTCTTGGTCCGTTTTTTATGTTAAAGGGGTAGGCTTCAGCACTGGCTCCTGAATGACAGGTATAAACCCAAATGGGGCTCCAATTAGGTGGTTCCTGCCTAAGCACAGGAGCGAAGGCCTCCTGTGGGCTTGTCCCAGCGAGGGCAGCACGGGTTCCCATGTGAGGCTGCAGAGGGTCATGCCACCTTCACAGTCCATCAGTTATGCCACCTCTGCCTCTCCCTCCCCTCCCCCTACATCTTACCACCACTCCCTCAAAATGTGACAATCTGTGTAGCCCAGATTAAAGTGACAAGCCTACAATAGGCTTTTCTAATGCTAGAGTGAGCTTCTAAATCCTAGATCTGAACCTGTCACTCCAACTTACAACACTGCCTCTCACAGCCTCTAAGAACAAAGCCGAACCCTCTGCAGGACTCTTGGGTCTCCTACATCTTTGCCCATACCTCTACCCTGAGCTCCAAAATCCAGCCCACCTTTCCAACCTCTCCTGGGGATGCTCAGAGCCACCTAGAACAGAGTACTGGACCACCCCACTCACACCTGCTCTCCCAGCCCAACTTGGAAGTAAACTAGGATATCCTGAGTTTGGCCCAAGCTAAACACCTAGAAATTATTCTTCCCTCACCACTCTCCTTCTATTCCATTTCATCCATCAGCAAATTCTGGAAATTCCACCTTCAAATACTGCCCTCTTCTCAGTCTAAGCCACAGCTCCTTCACATTCATGTGAATGTGGTGGTTCCGCAGCCCATCTATGCCCGCCTGAACCCTACCTAAAGTCCATTCTCTACATTGTAGCTCCTATTCGCCCACTCCTTCCTGTCCTTAAAATAGAGATAATGTTGCTGACCCTGGAATCGAAATATAAGCAAAATCAAAGCGATCCAACATGGGATAAAGCACAGGGCTGGGTGTCAGAAGCACTTGCTGGGTTCACTGCCATGAGCCTTCTCATGCCTTAGCATGACTTGTCTTCCCAACATCATCTGCATTTGCTCCCTTTTCTGCTAACTTCCTGGCTACTTGTTTGCCTCAAGGTCAGGGGCACCTCCAGTGGCCTTTCTTTATCTATTTGTGGGGTTGAGCATAGGCAGGTGCTCTGGAAATGCATGACAACTAGAATCGAGTGAATGACCAGTATTTCCCAACCTGCTGTCCACTGTGGGAGAGGCCCTAGGGGTGCAAGTTTATAATCAGTACGTGTGTACTTGGAAAACACGCTCAGGTCCTCAGAGATCAAAATAAATTAAAAAATAAAATAAAAGAAGGAAAAATTCAAAGGATCTTGGGGTTAAGTGCCTATTTTCTCTTTATGAGTGACTCACTCCCCAGACCAGATTCAATACCACATTCAGAGGAAGAAACGCATACCCAGTCCAGCCACCCAAAGAAACAGTGATGGGGGCAGGTCCAGGAGACCAAGATCAGGACAAAACAGTGATAGTTCCTTCCACAGAGGATCTCATAGCCTTTAGGGAGAAGTAGAATTGGCAAGAAGGCAAATATTTTGCTGCTTGGATGCACTGCCCCCTTGTGGAAGGCTGGGCTATGACAGCACCCTGGGAGCTCTGAGGACAGTTCTTGGCCTACAGTCTAACCAGTAGCCTTGGGGCCCACATCTGCCTGTGCCCAGATTGTCATCCAAGATTTCCGCTCATTGGTCTTGTCAACTTCTGGAAAAGCAAAAGGTGCTGGGAAAAGGCAACTGCAAGTGTCCCACTGCTGGCACCATATGCATAAGCTGTACTTTTATTGACACCAAATAGCTTCTAATTCCTCACTGAAGACTATCTGTCCATAGGAATTGGGTAGGGTGGGCTCGCCCAGTGTCCTTCAGCTTCCCTCACTGACTAGCTCCTGTGTGGACATGGTGCCCCCAAAATACTGGCCTTAGGCATTTTGCCTTGGGTCTTCACTACAGTCTCTTGCACCCAGGAAAGATGTAGGCCTCTTGCTTTCCACAAACACTTCTGGCTGGAACAGGTCACTTACCAGGCTGAAGGGAAGACACTGATGCTGCTACTGAAGCTGGAGTCACAGGAACTATCTGGACCTCCTGGGACAGGAAGAGGAACAAGATGACATGAAAGGCTGTTTGTTCTTTTGAAGAAATTAGATCTTGGTTACAGGGACACTGAAGATGTTCCTCTCTAGCCCCACATACTGATTCAGGCTCCTGAAAAGGAGCAGGGCTCTGGAGTGATGAAGACCCAAGCCTACTCACTCCCCACAGCTCTTGGGATAGTACCCAGACCTGTAAGCTTCTAGGAACAGAGAACTCACAAGGAGGGGAAACCAGGGCTGAACACAGTATTTTAGAAGGGAGTGCTGGCCTGAGAGCAATGGATGTTAAATGACTTTTGGATACTTCACATCCCTAGCCATCAGAGAATTCAAATCAAGTTCACAATGAGATACCACTTTACTCTCACTAGTATTGCTAAAATAAAAAAGAAAGATAATAATAACAAGTGTTGGTGAGAATGTGGAGAACTAGAAACCCTTACACATTGCTGGAGAGGCTAGAGAATGATGCAGTCACCTTGGGAAACAGCCTGGCAGTTCCTCAAAAGGCTAAACATAGAGTTGCCATGTGAACCAGCAATTTCACTCCTACATATACTCCAAGACACAGAAGTTGTACTGTATGTTCACTGCAGCATTATCTACAATAGTCAAAGAATGGGAACAACCCAAATGCCTATCAACTGATGAATGGATCAATAAAATGAAGTATTACTCAGTAGTAAAAAGGAATGAAGTTATTGATACATGTCATAACATGGATGAACTTGGAAAACACTATTCTAAATGAAAGATCACACCCTATGATTCCATTTAAAGGAAATGTCCAGAATAGGCATCAATAAAGTGGGACTGATACCATCTACACTGCCTGATCTAGATCCTATTATCTATTTTCCTAATTGGGGAATTTTGGTAGCAGACTCCACTACACACCTAACTTGAATATAACCACTTTTCTCACATCGACACCTTTGAGGTATGGGTCAGTTATTTGCAGAATGTCTCTCTGCTTGCTTTTTTCTCATGTTTCCTGAGTGGACTAAAGTTAGTCATTTCTTCTAAAGAATGCTATGGAAATTCTGGACCTACAGTGCAGCCTATCAGGGGCCACATGGTGTCTATCTGGCCTATTTTACTGTTGAGGCTGACTTTATCACTGGATGGAGGCAGTGTCTGCTGGGGTTCTCCCTGTGAAGTCACTTTCTTTATAATTAGTGTGTATCTTGGGGAAGATAATTGAAATTAGACAAATGCCCTGCTTTTCCCTCACACATCCTTCCACCAATCGATTGTAGCATCAATTGGTGGAGCCTGCCTATAACAAATACTAGTGTAGCATTGCCTGATGTGGTTTCTGTTTTCCTTTTCCTTTTATTAAGTGGAATTCTTCTGTTAGGAAGATCCCTTCTCTACCATTCATCCATTCACTTATTTATTTATATCATTATGGATTCACTGATATTTATTCAGTTCAATTATAAGGAAAAACTATCTTTATATTGTTGTTGAAATGACGAGCCTTGGCCTCTTAAAATAACACAAAATAAAATATATTCTAAAAAGTCCAAACAAATCAAAGCTCTAAGCAATGCCACTCTAGGAGTGGGCCATGGTTCTTCTTCTTTAGTAAAGAGGCCTTTATTTTTAAAATAGAAGAGGTCTGCACTGCCACCTGCCCAGAGGCACTCTGGGGATGTGGCACGGGTGGAAGGGGCCTGATCTGCTGGACCAGGGCCTGGGGAAGGTAAAACAGCAGCCGGGGCTCTCAGCCCCTGCAGGCTCGGCCGGTCTTACAGAAACACCCACATTCACAGGTGAAGTCCCAGGATGTCAGAGCCGAGCCCTGATCCACTCGGACTGCCTGGGCATTTTGCTCATTCAGCTCTCCATGGTTCTTTCCACACGAGGTCTCCCTGTTGAATGGGACTGCTGAGGGCAAGGCTCAAGTCACTGTATTTGAACAGCTATTGTCACGCTGCTACCAACTCCTATGGGCTTCCAGAAAGGAAAGAGCAGTCACTCCCTCAAAGCCTCACCCTGAGATACCAGCCATCTTTTCAATGTTGATAACTTGAGGAGTAAGAAGGAAACCTTGCTTCCCTTTGGAGTCCTCATTCCCACTCCCACGGAGCATCTCCTGTTGCCCTTCTGTATTAATCCCTGCCTCAGAGAGCTGCAGAATGACACTGTGCTTATGAGGAGGGACTCCTGAGCCCCTCTGCCTGGGTTTGGGCCCTGGCTGCATGAAGACAGCTGTGATCCTGGGCAAGCTGCCTGACCCTGCCTCCCCTTCTTCCCCTGACAATAAGGACAATGACAGTACCCATACCATGGGCTTGTTATGACAATAAATGAGCCAACATCTGTCAGGTGTTTAAAATGGTTCCCACACATCCTAAAAGCTAGGAAGCACTTGTTACATGAAGGAAAGGTGGGCTTTCACATTCCTCTCCCACTGCGTTTTCTCTTTTGTGATTTAGAGGAGCTATTTCTTGTGTTGGAGATTGACCCCGACAGTGAAGTGCATTGCCAACATATTCTCCTGAGCTGCAGCTTTTTAGGGTTATATATGTTTAAATATGCTGATAACTTTTGCTTGTGAGTCTTGTTCAAGAACTTATTTTTTTAAAACACATTTAAATATATATTTTGTAGTTGTATATTGTCACAATGCCTTTGTTTTTTTGTGGTGTTGAGGATCGAACCCAGTGCCTCACATGTGCTAGGTAAGTGCTCTACCATTGAGCTAGAGCCCCAGCCCCAAGCATTTCTTACGAAGCATTTTTGCCAAGAAATTGTGAACTTGAGCATGAATGAATAATTCTAACAATTTACGGGGAACAGGAATACAGGGGACAGTTGATCATGACAAAAACAGTGGGAAAAACTGTAGGACAAATAATCCAGTTTCTGAAAAAGCAAATTTTGAGGAAGGGGGAGAATAGGTAATGTAAGGGACATATCAACCAGCTGCAATGTATGCAGCAAGTTCCTGACTCAAACTGGAGTCCACAGGGAACAAGAACCTTGAATGGATATCTGATAATATTTAGGACTTATTTTTAATTTCCTGAGGTGTGATGACGATACTGTGACAATTTTTATAAAAGGAGCATTTTTTCTTTATAATTAGTAAGTATCTTGGGTAAGATAACTGAAATTAGACAAATGCCCTGCTTTTTCCTCAAATGTCCCCCCACCAATAGAAACACACATCAGAAACACACACAGAGATGAAATATAATGGTGTCAAAACTGTGCTTCAAACGAATCAAGGTGGGATAATGGATGGGAGGACAGAAGTACCAGGACTGGGCAAGGTGGGAGAAGAACTGGCCTATCCACCGCTGTTACTGTCACTTCCTATGTAATAGGCAGTTTTCTAGGCTATTTGCAAACTACTTTAGTTCTTTTAATCACCTTCCAGTAAGTTGTAGTATTATCTCCATTTCACAGGTAGGGACACCAAGGCATGGAGATTAAGCAACTGGCTGAATGTCACACAGCTGGTAAATGGTGAACCACTGGCAACAGATCCAGATCCTACACTCACAGTACATCGGCCAGCCTCTTCCATTTAGGTTTTAATGACAATGTAGGGTGAGGCCATGAACCCAGGAATGCAGGTAGACTTTAGAAACTGGAAAGGGCAGGGAAATGGACTCTTTCCAAGAGGATGCAGAAGGAACATAGTCCTGTTGACCCATGTTAGGATGCTGACCTTCTGAACAGTGGGAGAACAAATAAGCTTGTGGTATTTTGTAAGAGCAGAAACTGGAAACTAACATATCTGCCCTAATCTCTCCAATTAAAAAATGAAAAACCTGAGCTGGGCGCAGTGGCGGGCACCTTAGTCTCAGCTACTCAGGAAACTGAGGCGGGAGGACTGCTTGGGCCCAGGAGCCCAAGGCTAGCCCGAGCAACACAGCAAGATCCTGTCTGAAGGAAAGAAAAGAAAAAATTCTCTCTTGACCTCACCATCTCCCCTCAGCTATCACTCCCTCCTCTGCCCCCCTTGGCAGGTCAATCCTCTGAAGGACTTTGGCCCTCGCTGTGCCCACTCCTCTCCCCGCACTCTTGTCACCCTCTTCTCCCATGGCTCCACTGAAGCCGGTCCAGTCACTAAAGCTCTACATGCCTGGCCCAACACCCTCGAGTCCTCACCCTCCTCATCCGCCAGGGCCGACCGACAGCCGATTACTGCCTTCTCCAGGAAAATCTGCGCTTGGCTTCCTCCTGCCCCAGGGCCATGTCCTCCCATCTACTCAGCTGGTTCCTCCTCAGCGCCCCATTCTCTAGGCTGGCATGGCCCTAGCCAGGCCTGGCCCTCCTTGCCCTCCCCACACTCGCTCCTTCGGCATCCTCACGGCTCTGCACGCCTCTATGCTGTGAATTCTGGTGAGCAGCCCAGCCCCTTCCCACGCACACCAGACTGCCTGCTCCAGGGCCTCCTTCACCTGTCTAACAGGCGTCACAAACGCAGCACATTCTTCTCCCACTAACCTGCTCCTTGCTCTTCCTCCCTCCTCAGTAAATGGCGACTCCATCCTCTAGTCATCCTGTCTCCTTCTGACTCTGCATGGGGAACCCTCTAGCAGAGGACCTTTCCCCTTTGAGAAGGTTACTCCCTGCAAAGGACCATGGTATCCTGTCTACATTGCTGCATGGCTTGTGCCTGGGCTTCCTGGTAAGTTACTTTACCATTTGTAAGTGTGGTTCTGGCCCTGCGTTCCTTAGCTCAAAACCCCAACATGACGTCATACGTGCCAAAGTAAAAGCCAGAGTTTTTTCAGTGCCACAGAGGCCTGCTTAACAGGTCCCCCGTTCCTCTCTGGTGTCACTGTGCCCCTTCTCTGCTCTGTACATGACTATTTATTCTGCTCTTCTGTGGTCCTGCCAGGTACACCCCACCCTTGGAACACCTGCCATCCATGGTCCACTCCCTGGCTCCTCCAGTTTTTGCTCAAATATCACATCCTTCCATGACAACCCTTTTTAAAATTACACCCTCCATACTGCAGCCTTCTGCTCCATGCTTGGGGTTTCCTATGGTATTTACTGTCTTAAAAACTCTCAGAGAGAAAAGAATTGCCTACATCCATAGTTATTTCTTCAGGACAAATTCCTAAGGACAAATACTGAGGGTTCTTGATACACACTGTCAAATGTACTTACCAGGCTATTAACTTGTTCACTGTGTGCCTTCCCCCAGTGGAAAAGCCAGCTCTGAGAGGGCAGGCCTGTCTGTCTGCTGGATCTCGCCCTGTCCAGTACCCTCACTGAATTCCACTGTGTGTTCCCCTCCTGCCGTAAAACTTCCCATGTGATTCCATGTCCCAGGACACAGGGCTCCTCTACCTGGTTTCTCTTCCAGGGAACCACTGAGGCCCATGTCAGGCTGGACGGGATTGGAAAATGGCTTAAACAAGCTGAAAGGCATTTGGGAGCATATATCAAAAGCCTTAAAAATTTAAGAATTTATCCTTAGAAAATAATTATGGATATTTATAAGATTTTGCTACATAAATGCTCTTTTTAGCAAGGATTATAAGATTGAGATAAAATCAAAAGTGGCTAAATGATTTATAATAGAAGGTTAGTTACATGAATTTTGGCATCTATCTAAGGAATGATTTAAGTATTTTAGGTTAACAGGAAAGCAAACTTATTTGAGTAAACAAGGAAATTATATATTGCATCCTGAAGACAAAAGGAATATTTGCATTATCTATTCCAGAGACCAATTTTATTAAGATGCCTAGTTATACAGTATTGGCTAAAAAGGAGATAGTCAATACACGTTGCTTGTGACTTCCACAAAATGTAGTAGAAATAACCCCCATGTCCATCAACTGATGAACAGATAACAAAATGTGATCTATCCATACAATGGATTATATTATTCAGCCATAAAAAAAGAACAAATTGTTGAAATAATTTACAGCACGAATTAACCTTGAAAATGTTATGTTCAGTGAAGGAAGCCAAATACAAAAGGGTACCTTTTGCATGATTCTATTATGAAATGTCCAGAAGGTAAATCCATAGGAATAGAAAGCAGAATAGAGTTGTCAGGAACTGGGAGAGGGGAATGAGGAATGGCAGCATGGAGTTTCTTTTTGGGATGATGGAAATGGTTTGGAATTGGATATCACTGATGACTGTACAAACTTGAGAATATGCTAAAGTCACTAAGTCTTACACTGTAAAAAAAAAGTGCAATGTAAAAAGCCACAAACAATATGCAAATGCATTTTAAAAAACTGAAAATAAATATCTCCCAAAGTTGGCAGTCATTATTTCTGTGTGAGGGTACAGTGAGCACTCTCCTTTGAGTTCTGTTCTTCCCAAAACCTCTGCAGGGAACATGTATTTCTGTTATAATCAGAATTTTTAAAATGGGGGTGGGGGTGCTGAAGCTAAGGAGAAAGAAAAGGTTTGTTTTGAAAATCCTCTGAAGCTGGGCCTGGTCACCCCAAGCAACACTGACACTCCCTCCCCTGAGCCCTTGGTCCTTGGTGACTGTGCCCAGTGTCACAATTACTTGTCTGTATCTGTCCCCGAGTTCCTTGCAGGCAGGTCTGGGGTCTGATCCACCTGTGCTTGCAGTGTCCACAAAAGGTACTGACAAACCCAGTCCAGTCTCGGCTTTGCAAATAGATAGATTTCATTATATGTACACCATGAAGGTCACAGCCTCCACTGGAAATCCTATTTACAGCCCTGTTCCTCACTTGCCATATGAACTTCTATCCCTGACCCTCTATGGACTTCATTCAGAACCCACCATGAGCCCATTACTAGCTGGGTGATGCTGCTGATAAGAAACAAGAGAGTAAAAGCCAGCCGAGTACCTTACTGTGCTAACACAGACGGTCCCTGGCTTACCAGGGTTCCACTTAATGGTGTTTCAACTTTATGATGGTGTGAAAGCATACTCACACACTGCCATTCTGTTTTCCACCTTCAGTAAAGTATTCGATAAATTACACGAGCCATTCAACACGTTGTTATAAAATAGGCTTTGTGTGAGATGATTCTGCTGAACTGTAGGCTGATGTAAGTGTTCTAAGCATGTTTAAAATAGGCTAGGCTGGATGTCTGGGAGGTGAGAAGTATTAAATATAGTTTTGACTTATGATATTTTCAACTCACGATGGGTTTATTGGGACACAACCCTATCACAAGCTGAGGAGCAACAATGCTAAAGCATCTGATCCTGTCTGCCACATGCCATACACGCAAAAATTTTGTTTGAAACTCACAACCACATTATGGTAAGGTATTATCATTAACACCCTAATTAAAAAATAAGGAACCTAAGCCTTAGAAAGGCTAAGCAGCTGCTCAAGGGGAAGAGGTATGTAGTGAGCAGATCCAGGACTCACAGGCAGGTTATCTGAACTCCAGAATATTTGCTGTGACATCTGAGACAATGAGGGAATGTCGGGGGTCAGAAGAATGACAGGCTGAATATAGAAAGTGCTACAAGAACTCAGAAGTAGGGAAAGGACTCTGGGCTGGGCCTGCGCCCTACCACCAGTGGCAGGGCCAGGTGAGAGATGTAGCATGGGGCACAAAGGAGAGGTTGCCCTGTGGTTAGGGAAGGAGGAAGAGACTGGAGGTTGTGAAAAGCATACTTTATAGTAGTTCCCAGGAATGGCAACGGCAAATTTGACAGCTTCTCATTCACCCTTACCCCTGCTCAGCTCATAACTAGTCACCTGTGTGTGTGTGTGTGCGGGGGGTCGGGGGGCTTGTCTGAAGAGCACTTGCTGTGGCTGCATCAGCACAGACTGAGCTTGGAAGACAAACACTAAAAGAGGAAGACCAGGCAGGAGGATCCTGTTGCAGCCAGGTGGAGAAGGGCCCAAAGAGTGAGAAAAGAAAAGGGAAAACTAAGTAGGGGAGGCTGGGATGAGCTTGCCCATCACTGTCTCTTGGCTTGCTGGGACTTTCTCCTGCTCATCTTGGTAAAAGATGGGTGACTAGTTATGAGCTGAGCAAGGCTAAGGGTGGATGAGAAGCTGTCAAATTTGCTGTTGCCATTCCTGGTAACTACTATAAAGTGTACTTTTCATCTGCTGAATGCTGTTTAAGGGGAAGTAAAACCCAGAGCTAGAATGTATTGTGGTTTAGGGTAATGTTTTCCTGAGCAGGCAGCTGTTTGAAGAATGCTTAGAAAAACTACTTAAAAGGGTTAATAAAGAAGTTGCATTGGCCGGGAATCGAACCCGGGCCTCCCGCGTGGCAGGCGAGAATTCTACCACTGAACCACCAATGCTCCAGCTGCTTATTGCTCTGCTTCCAGCTGTTTTGCAGCTCTGGTTCACAACAGTGTGGCAGAGTTGTAACTTGACACTGGAGACAGGTCCAGCAAGAAATGTTGCTCTATTCTACCAGCCAAACCCCAGCAGCATATGTGTCTCACACTCGGCTCAGATGTTCAAGATAAGTTCAGATGTTTAAGAGAAGCCCATGAAAGACAATGGGAGAAAATGCTTTAGTAGCTCTTTGGCTCCTAGGCCAGGTTCCAGGCCTTGTTACCTTAAAGACTTGAGTAGGGTGTGTAGCAACTTACTCTCTGCCTGATTCTGCAAGGGAAGAAATCACCCAAAAGTTGACTGTGACTGCTCAGTGAGGGCAGAGTCCGAGATACGAAGATGGCAGAGTGATAGATTACACTTAGAGTCAAACTCCAGACCCCAATCAGCATGAAAATGGTTTTATGTTATGGATAAACAAGAAAACAATGCTGGAAGAGTCTGACAAGAGTAATGTATTTTTTAAAGGCATTGACTTGGGCAGAATTCCCAAGCACTGAATAAACCAGTTCTCTTGACACTCCTTCCCGGAGAATGACTCATGTGGTAGAGGCAGCTGAACGGCTGGCTGTCGATGGCCAAGAATCAAATACACTGGGTAGCCTGGTACTCCTGCCATGCTCCAAAAACATCAACAACTCGCTTTGGCTAAACCCAGAAAAAGATAAAATGCAAGATGCAATGGTCCTTGAGGCAGTAAGGGTGAAGAGCATGGGCTCCTACTCCAATTCCACCACTTACGAGCTGCCAGAGCCTGAGGAATGGAGATAGTAACAGTTCTACTTCATTGGGCTGTTATCAGAGTTAAAGGAGTTAACAAATGTAAGCGAAGTCACAAGGCAAGACCCAGGACCTCTGCACGTTGTCTCCAGAGCCCTCCATGGAAGGTGAGGGGTGGGGAGCAGTCCACTCACCACTGGATGTCCCCTCCTGCTTTGCCAGGGAGTCCTCAGGGTTGGGTTCTGTCTGCCTTTGTACTGCTGACTTCGGCTCATCTGGCTCATCGTCCTCGGGAGTGACCAGCTTCATCAGGCTCTGGTTGCACACATTGGCCACCTCCTTAATGCCTGTGTCCACTGATGTAAGGAGCAGCCACATGCAGGAGTCCTCCTTCAACTCGAGGCCACTGGTCTTCCTATTCAGGGGCTCAGTGCTCCCCAGAGACTGTGTCAGGACTGTGTCAGAGAGCAGACCAGCAGTGTGACCTAAGTTCCTGTTCTCCTTGCTACACCAGTGCCCTTGTGAGATGCTCATCTTTTTTTCTCATACCATCCCACCCTGGTGGCTCTCCCACTAACAGGATTTCCCCCACCTCCAGTGCAGCAACAGGAGAGCTGGTCTAGATCTCTAAGTGACCAGGAGAGGACTGGAAATAGCCAGCACTAACTCTGCGTGCCTGGCTTTCTTAATCCACATGCAGCTCTATCTCTTGCTCCCTAGAAGCTAGGGACTATCTGGAGATGTGATGACTCCTAAGGGATCTATCTTCTTCCCCACTCGAGGGACCCTGCACTTCACAGTCTCCTTTGGGGCTATCGGCATTTCTTCTCTCCAGGGTGAAGGATACTTTTTTTGCGGTCATCGTAGGCCAGGCAGGGTAAGACAGCAGTCAGGATCCCAGAGGAGTAGGGCAGCATTACCCGGCCGGCCAGCTGGATGAACTCCCGCATCCAGCACATGGCTGTTAGCTGGATGAGGTCATCTGAAAAGGGAATCGGTGGGTTCCAAAAGGGTCAGCACAAAGAGCTGGGCGGCTCCCTCCCACCCCAAGTGCAGGATGGGACAGGGGAATGCAGGGGCTTCACTGCCTCTGTTCTTGCCAATATTTCCTAACGCATGTGCCCCACCTTCTAAAGGCCCACCTGTATAGAAGGTTGGGGGAGTGACAATCCTGAGCCTAGCCTGTCAAAGTAGCCAGGGTTCTCTCCCCTTCCTTTCCTGCCTCTCTGTAATGCAAGTTTGTATCTCCTCTCAGCAAGAAGTACAGTTCATCTATCTCCCTACCCTTCATCTGGACTGGCCTTGCTACTCTGGCCAAGAGCATATGATGGCAGTGGAGGTGTGACTGGTTCAAGTTAGGCCTCAAGAGACCTTGCCCACTTCTGCCCCTCCTGGAACCCTACTGAGACCATATGAACACACCTGGCCTAGCCTGCTGGATGAGACAACCTGACCAAATGCCCCCACTGTCCCAGCTGATAGCTAGCTAAACCCCTGAGATGAGTGAGGCCATCCCAGACCACCCAGCTCCAACCAACCTTAAGCTGACTCTAGGTGCACCATCAGGCCTGGCGGAGGGGAGAAAAAACATCCAGCTGACTTGATGACCAATAACCAGCAACTGTTTTTTTTTACCAATTAAGGTTTGATGCCCAAATGAATCTAATGGATTCACAATCCTGACCTCTAAGCATTCTAGTTCTCCCTGAGGAGGCCAAGCCTGAAAGCAAGAAGGTCTCCAAATCTTACATGCCAGCCCAGACCAAATGACATGACTTCTAGATCAATAAGAAACCTGGATCTCTCCCTTATAAAGACCTACCACTCCAATGCTCCTGGGGTCCAGTGTTACACTGGTTACCTGTCTTACCAGGGCTCCTTCGTACCTGCTCACTGAAGTTGAGAAGTGAGAGAAGGGGCTTCTGAAGAGGTGGTGGTGACCGTAGGAACTTCTTGCACTCACCTGTGGTCTGGCAGTGGATCACCAATATGTTGGCCATCTCAGCAAACTTAACACTGGAAGGATTTTTCTTAATTTCTTTCAAGAATTCTCCAAGGACCACCTCACACCTACCCGTGAGAAAGGAGGAAGAAAATAGCGTGTGTCAGCTGGGGCTGGAAGAGCCTCAACCAGGGCCTGTTTCTGCTCTGGGTTCACCACCCTTGTTGGACAGACACTGTTTGGAGGTGAGGGAAGCACACACAAAGGAAGAAAAGGGCAAGTTTTGGGCTCTCCTGCTGCTGTCAGTAGGGTGTGGGGTCCATGGGCACCCTCAGGGGTCCAGCAGGCTGTTGCCTGCCCTGCCCTCCACTCACATTTTCCGAATCTCCTTGCCATTGTCACCCAGAATCTGGAAGAGTCCATCCAGGATCTCTGGCAGGTAATCAAGCAGGTTAATGTCTGGCACAGACTCCAGAACCAGGATCTGACCAAGGGAAGAAGGAGAAGGAAGAGATGGCTCAGGATGAGCACCTCTTCTCCTCCTTGCCATGGCCCTGGGACCTGGGCAGTAAGGAGATCCTGCAGAGGTGGCGAGTCAGGGCCCTGCTAGATGTTCACGGGAGAGTGATCTTTTTGTTTAATGCGCAGGGGAATGGCAGTTGGACCCCAAGAAGATTCAGATGCCTGGGAAGAAGGGAATGAATGGGGAAGGACAGACAAGGCTGGACAAGGTGTGACAGCTGAAGGCAGCACTACTGGCTTCAGAAGTCTGGGTGTTTTCCAGGACAAGGAATGAACTATATCCCTTTGGGGGCACATAAGTTGGGCTTTGGGGTAAGCTGGATAAAGTATTATTGGATTATCAGGTGCCTGTGGCTATTAGAGGGATCATAAAAAGGCTTCTTGTAGCCAAAGGTACAGACAATTGTGTGACAAAGATCTGAAGTGACTCCACCAGAGGCTCTCTGTGGCTGGAGGAAGTGTGCCAGGGCCCAGCTTTACCCAGGAGATGATGAACTGCCGGGCGTACTGGTTGTTTGAGTAAATCCTCTCCCGCAGCAAAGGGATGAAGCCCACCAGGTCGAACTTGTTGCTCTCAGTCACAATGTCCTGTGGATCAAAGCATCATGAGCTGTTGAGAGCCACAGACAAGGCCTTACTGGCCCTGGGCTGGCTCCAGGGGTCAGGGAACCATGAAGGAAATGACAGAGCCTGAGCTAGGTAAGAGAGGTGCAAAGGACAGCAAAACAAGGACACTAACAGTAGGAATCAAGGTCAAGAGAACTAAATGAATGGCAAAACCCTGCTCCCTGTAGTATGGATTCAATACCAGCCCCCATTGTCTGGGAAGGGTGGTGTGGAATGTGAACTCCTTTGCTCTGAGTGGGGGCAATAAAACAAGGGGACATTCAGGAGAAAGTCACAGTTCTGTATTTAAATTGTGGGGGTGACAGGACTCTATACACATGTCCTAGAAGTGCACACTGACCGGTAAGCTTCACTGTATGTACATTTAAAAAATGTTTTAAGTTTAGAAAGAACACTCCCAGTGACAGAATTTCTAAGCTGTACAGACAGAGAGAAGGAATGGATTCCAAAACTAAAAGCGGAGACAAAGTACAGATACCTTCAAAAGTCGGTCTAGGAGCTCAGATCCACTTTTCACATTGGGGTCTGGGTCAGCAGCCAACTATGAGGCACAGAAATGGAAGAGAAACAGAGGCAATGGTCAGTCAAATGGAAGCCAAGGAGCCACTGCAAAGCCACAGCCAAGGCTGTGGTGCAGCTTACACCTGTGGGCACCTCTCTCTTCGAGTACATCTGGGGGAGGGGGAGGGGCGGCAAAACAGAACGTGGCCGAGGAACAGGGGCACCAGATCCCCTCTCCCGGGCCCTGCTGTGTCTGGCCCAGAAGGTCACTTTTGGTTGGAAGGCTGTCCCAAGCCTTCCCCATCTTAAAATGCCAGGCCCCACTTCACTCCTGGAGCTGGGAGTGGGGTGGCTGTGATGCTGGTACTGAGATGTGCCTGTGGCATCCATTCCGCAGGGCAGCAGGGCGGCAGTCACTCTGGGCTCTGGGGAGGGCTGAAGGAGGCCCCCAGGAGAGCAGTAGGACAGCTCTTTCTAGAGCACTTGTGAGCCAGATAATCATGGCCTCCTCGCAGGGGAAGTCCAGCCTGGATGTCGGGGTCCCCCTTCTCACCTTCTGCTGGGGTGGGAGGTGGGGGGTCGGGGAGGTGGGGGTGGTGTGCTTCTCAACCAGCTTTTCTCCTCCTGCATGTTCAACACTGATACTTTCGTAGAGTACAATAAAAATGAATAAACAGAAAAATGAAAAGGGCTGTAAACATAAGCCCATTAAAAAAATTTGAGGCCACTGAGTGTGTCCCTCGCAACATGCTAGTCTGCTCTGCTTGCATTTGGGAAGAGGGCCCCAAGTACCAAGGTCCCTGAAGGTAAGTAAGGCAGGTGATGGAGGAAGAGGAGTGGTTACCTTACTCAGCCCATCAAAGAGCACATTGAAGTGGGGCAGCACAGCGCCACGGGCCACCTTGACGATGTTGTAGAGAGCCTCGCAGGCATAGTAGCGCAGCCTGCTGTCTGCGTCGTTAAAGCACGTCAGCACAGGCTCGATCAGCTCCTTCAGGTAGAGCCCTGAGTCCTGTGATGGGGCAGGAGGAAGAGAAGACAGTTCAGAAAGGGACAGGCCCCAGGTCCTGTGCCTGCGGTGCCAGCTGACATGCCTGCAGTCTGGAGATGCTTAGCCTCTGCGCAAGGGATGGGCTCAAAGACCCTTCCCAAGCCAGCCTCTCAGGAGTGGCGCCATGCCCAGGGACATGGCTACAAGGTCACAAAGCAGCCTTGCTGGTCTGAAGCACGAAGTGCCCCGCTGGTCTTGGGAAGAAAGCTGTCTGCGTCTCAGTGGGAAGGCCATCACTGGTGTATGTCCCTCAGGGAAGGCCTACCTTGCCCAGGGCGATGGAGCAGGCAGCCAGGCCAATGAGGCCCCCTTTCCGGCTGTGAGGGTGCTGGGACAGGGCAAACTCCTGAGACAGGGTCTGGATCACATGCTTGATTTGAACGGTGTTGTTCTGGGCCACGAACTCCCGCACCAGCCTGGAGAGAGAGGAGACGGGGCTGTGGGATTGGTGGGACCAGGCTACCTGCTGTGGTGGACTCTGGGCTGGGACAAGGAAGGGAGATGACCTGTTTAGAAAGAGGAATTGGGAGTCAGCTGTCAGGTCACATCCTCTCAGTTCTGCTGCGGGCTGTTTCCCTATTCTGTTTCCCTTTGAGTACAAAGGAATGAGGAACAGCAGCACTGTCTCGCTTCCAGGAATCTGAGAGAACACAAATCAATGTCTCCTTGGGACCAAAAATATAATGCACTATCAGTTGATCAACCATGTTGACTGAATACTTGTTCAACTTCATAGTCATACGTCCAAGAAGTCCCCTGCATCAGTGCCATTACACCAAAGATGGTGCTGGGGAATCAGGCCTCAATCTAATGGGCAAGATCCAGGTACAAACAAGTAGTTGCGGCAAAGTGATGTGCATACTACCAGAGAAGCAAGAACATGCAATGGGCTAACTCTCCTTGGGTGTCAAGGAGGGCTGACAGGGAGGTCCCATTTGAGTCCCATTTTAAAAACATTAACAGGTATATTGAAGTTAAAGAGAGGAAGGCAGGCTTATTAGTTTTTCATTGCTATAACAAAATAACCAAGGCAGGCTACTTATGAAGAAAAATGCTCACAGTTCAGGAGGCTCAAAGGGATGGCATCTGCATCAGCTTAGTTCTAGTGAAGGCCCTCTTTGGATGTGTCACCTCATGAATGGCAACAGTAGGAACACATCTGGGAGGAAGGGATCACATCTTCACAGAGGAAGTCAGAGCTGGGCAGAGCCAGGCTCATCCTTGAACTACCCTCTGGTGAGAACGACCAAGGAGTAGTGGGACAGCACCTTTAATCACTTGGAGGGCTAGTGCCCCCACTGTCTTAGGGATCTCCCACTAGGCCCCACCTCTAAAAGTGTCCACCTCTCTACACTCCTCCTAATACATGGACTTTTCGGGGGACACACGACATCCAAACCTTACCAGGGGCATCTCGAGCACAGAGGGAGCCTGAACAAAGGCTGGGAGTGCTGAGAAGGTACAAGATGACAGGAGGATGAGGTGCCTGGGGGGATGGAAGGAGACAGGTAAGGAAAAGAGGACCCCTAGCAGCTTTCCTGCAAAGGCGTGCCATCCTCGACCTAGGCTTTCATTAGCTACCACTGGCTGCAGTTAGGAGAAGATGGGCTGGGGTTGGTTTGATAGTAGGAGACCTTTCAGAACAGTGCATCTCTCAGGATAAACAGGGTCTGGAATATGGTCAGGGCAGCAAGAGAGAGAGCATAGGATTGTTTCTAGAATTAAACAGAAAAGCATTAGTAGCCTCTGTAATATAGGGAAGGGGAGGAAGGACAGATGGTGCCTTTAAGGTGTGGAACTGGGTTGGGTTGCTGATGGGGAGGAAGAGCAGGTAGGAGCGTGTGTCTGCAGGGGAACAGGGGATGCCTCTCAAGATATGTGGAGAAGAGCTGATGTCTCTGTCCTCAGAGTCCCAGGAACATGAAGGCCAAGCCTGTGTCCTTCAGAAGCTCACAGTACCTCTGCAGTGGGAAGCCTCACATGGGATAATCATGTATGAGACACCAGATGCTAACATGGGAGCCATGGCTCAAGAGGTCAGAACAATTGTCCTAGAAGTGGGATTTGAGCCCATCTTGAAGGAGGTGGAAACAGAAGTAACTGTGTGAGCAAAGGTGGTGAGGGGCAGGCAGCTAAACAACCTCAGTGGACAAAAGAGCAGAGGGACATACCAGAGGGCTGGCTGGGTGGGTCTAGCACATCCAATTAGCGAGAATGGATTTCACATCATGGTAAAGGGAAAGTTTCCTTTGGGTTTTGGGGAGAAGCTTTAAGCATCTGTCTTAAGCCTGCAGATGCTTGGGAGGTGTGTGTGGTGGGTGGGGGTAGTGTGAGGAGCAACTAGTAGAGGGCAGAGGGCAGCCAGACATCAGGAACTTTAAAAAGTAACTGCTCAGACTCCTTCTCTGGTTGCTTTGCATTACAGGCTCAGTGGGTACACTGCCTGCCTGTTGCATAAATGAGAATCTCTAGTTACCTTAAAGAATTTTGTCCAAAAGGTAGATCTATTTCTGTGGTTCCAGCTCTAAGCCAGGAACTTCCTAGAAATTAGAGCTGTTCAAACACATGTATGCTATTTTGTGGGACAGTGACCACTCCTGCAACAAGGCTTTTCACAGACAGACTGGACAAGGGTTTAAAGATTTAATCCAGCAAGTCATATGCAACACCTTCTGTGTGCCAGGTCCTGGGCTGCTGGATGGTGGAGCAGAGGTGCTTCAGGAATGAGTTGCACACATAACCTGTGAGGTGTCTCCTGCTCTGATGTTTCTGGGGCTAAGGGTTATCCGTGAGCCAAGGATAACCTTGAATGGAAGCTGAACACTAGTTCACAGGTCCCAACTTCTGAAGAAGCAGGGTAACTCCTTATGACTGGCAAGAATGGATCCACATAAACCTGTCTGGTCACCCAAACTTGACAAACCAGCCCCATGAGGGCCAGTGATTTGCCAGAGCTTCTGAGTGTTACAGACAGCCCAGTGAGGAGGCCTCTGCAGATGTCCCAGAGAACAGCTGGAGCATTGGTGGTTCAGTGGTAGAATTCTCGCCTGCCACGCGGGAGGCCCGGGTTCGATTCCCGGCCAATGCAGTGCAGTGTTTCTTTTTTGCTCTTCCTGGCCAGTTTCCTCACACAGAGATACTGTGAGAAAAGCCAGGCTCCTCAAGCATAGCAGGCCTGCAGCAGCCCAAAGGCGCCTATGAATCTGGGCTCACATGTCCCTACCCAGTGAGCCCAGGCAGAGCCTCTGGGCTCTCCAGAGAAGCTGCAGGAGCCATTTCCATGTATCCAGCTGGAGAGGGACACCCACAGTGCTGCCCTCAGCCCTGGCCAGTCACCAGCAGGAAGATGGTGTGAAACCTGAGAGCAGTAAAATGGCTCAACACAGGAGGGGAGGGAATGGGAAGACCCGACCATCAGAGGGGAGAGCCACCCAGAATCTCAGCGTGCTTTTGCTAGAGCTCTAGCTTCTGTCTGGAGGCTGACAACAGGTCAACTTCACGCACACCCTGGTTCCTGCTCCCTCTTGCTTTGAAGCCTATGCTTTCTGTTCTTACAGCTGTGCTGATGTGGCAGCACCAGAGACTGGTCTCAGTCTGTGTGTGACTCAGCATATACTCAAGGAGGTTGAAGGGAGTTAAAGGGAGGTGCCTCACAGCTGTTGACAGCAGGAGCATTGGTGGTTCAGTGGTAGAATTCTCGCCTGCCACGCGGGAGGCCCGGGTTCGATTCCCGGCCAATGCAACAGCTGAATGCTTTTTTAAATCCGGAGACACTGAACTTGAACTTTTATACTGCCCAAAGAATTTGCAAATATAGTTGGAGAAAAGGGAATAACTTGTTTCTAGCTTGAGTTTTAAATGTTTTTGACAAAAAACAGTGTCCTAAATTCTACAACAATTCAGAACCTGTGTGTCCTTGTTCTTGAAGAATCCAGGACAAGGGGCTACATCACAGCAATGCTGTGAGAAGCTACGCCCCTGCACTCCTGTCCAGACAGCCCACCTGGGAAGCCAGGCCCTGTTTCTGTGTGGCACAAGTCACAGCAGCACCCAGAGTGGGAGTGAGGACACCCTCCAGGCACCAGCAAAGATCTAAGAGGAAGCCCAGCCTCCCTGCAGCACAGGCATCCCTGGAACCAGTCCTCTCCTGTCTCCCCTTTCAGGTTACAAACATTCACAGAGCAACTGGGGCCACATATGAGATGCATTTCCTGCCCTTGAGGGGTTCTTGCTGGGGAAAGAGAGGACCCAGAAGAATTCTCCAGAACTATGGTGCAAACCTGCTCAGCAGAGTGCAGGGAAGTGAGGCAGGCCAGAAGGAGAGCGGCTGGAATCTGCAGGAGAGAATGTAGTGTGGTCTCACGAGGGTCAGCACTGGGAGGGTTCTGAAGGATGAGTAGGTGTTTGTTCTGGGGCCATTCAGGATGAGGTTGAAGCAAGGCTGGGGGCAAGAGGGATAGGCATTTGGTTTGGTACAAGCGGAGGCCACAGTTAGAGGAGAAGTAAGTGGCAGGCATGGAGAAGTAGTTCCTTAAGCAGCGCAGGACCCTGAATGCTTGACAAAGAACTAGCATGTCAACTCTGGTGGCAGTGAGAAGCCACAGAGTGGTGAGCAGGGGATGGATGTGAACTTCAGGAGTTCCTGCCATGGCAGGCAGTGGATCTGAATGGTGCTCAGGGTGCTCTGAAGACAACAATGGCCCAGAGTGCTCGGATGTAGGAAGAAGGAATGTGGCTTTGGTGTCACGGGGACACCTACAAGAGTGACAGGCCTCCAGAAGGCAGCAGATGGGAAGTGGGGATATTTGGGCTCAGCACCCTTTGTAAGCCCAGGAGCACCTTTCTCCCTGTGGGACACCAGCCTTGAGGCCTCCTCTGCCCAAACATTATCAAGATAATTCTGGCACCGCAGGCCACTACAAAAATGGCAGCTCATTCAAGCCCCACAGCCACGAGCATCCCAAGTCTCTAATGTTTGCATTCCTGCATTTAAGGTAGATTTTTTTTTTTCTTGTGGTACTGGGGATGGAACTCAGAGACATTTCCCACTGAGATACATCCTCAATACTTTTTAAACTTTTGAGACAGGGTCTTGATAGTTTGTAGAGGCTGGCCTTGAACTTGCAATCCTCCTACCTCAGCCTTCTGAGTTGCTAGGATACTAGGCGTACACGATCTAAGTCTGGCCAGCACAGAATATTTTTGATTTTCAGGAAAATAAACATCATATAAACAATGGTTCTTTCGACAGGGGAAACTATGAGAGATGTTCTTATCAGTATCACCATCCCAGAGAGCACCAGGCCTGCCTTGGGGTCATTCCCTGGGGCACAAGCAGGAAGAATCTATCCCACGAATCAAGCCCACTCTTCTTAGCTGACATAGGGGGCAATCAAAACAAGATGAGGTGAGCTCT